CTATAAAATACCTTTACAGCAGGGCGCCTGGGTGGCTCAGTCGTTAAGCGTCTGCCTTTGGCTCAGGTCATGATCCTGGGGTCCTGGGATCGAGGCCCACATCGGGCTCCCTGCTCAGCGGGAAGCCTGTTCTCCCTCTGCCCCTCCCCCTGCTTGTGTTCCCTCTCTCACTGTGTCTCTCTCTGTCAAAAAAATAAATAAAATCTTAAAAAAAATTAAAAAATTAAATACCTTTACAGCAACACCTACACTGGTGTTTGACTAACGGGGGAATGTAGCCTACCAGGTGGACATTGACCATCACATCTCCCAATGCAATGCCTCCTTCTGCAGCCAGATTTACTCTACCAGAATGCATCCCGAGGTGCAGGCTGCAGGCCTTGGCATGGAGGGACTCCGTGTGGATGGCCTGCTCCCTGATGGCCCACCATGCACAGCCCATCCTCCCATCTGGCGCACCTCACAACCCATCTCTGTAAAACTCCAGACATTGCTTTGCCCTTGCACTTTTGAAGCCTCAAATTGTCAGTAAGCCTTTTTTCTCTCTCTTCCCTGAAACTAAAATCCCTTATAAGCACAGGCGATGTCTTCTGTCTTGGAATCCTGAGCATGGAGGAGACTCTATGGATGTGTGTAATGGAGGTGAGCTCATTTACTATGTATAACCCAAATTCTCAGCTTTATTCATCCCAAGGATCATCTGGACAAGCAAATAATTCAGATGAGAGGAAGAAGTATTTTCTCCTCGATTATTCAAGTTTCAAAGAGAAGGAATGAAAAAGATGATAAAGAAAGTAAAAAAGTGCATGTCTTGCATTATTCGGATATGCTACTGTGAGCTTCTGTCCAAGTCTAGGTTTGCCAGAGAAAAGGGGTAGGCCTTTAAATTTGAGATGTTCAGGCACAATCTTACCAAAGTTCCAGTTCTCCCTCTAGCCCATCACCCCAGAAATATCTTTGTCTCTCATTCTGAAGGGTCCCTTTCTTTTGCACCTTCCACAGTTTGGTTGGAACTGCTTGGAAAAGTAATTTTATTTGTAGCTGATTCTTGTCCTCTAATAGCTAATACATGTTGAGCACCTGCCATATACCAAGCACCATCTCAATTATTTTACACAACAATCATATAAGGTAGTACTTTTATTGTCCCCAATTTAAAGATGAAGAAAAAGGCTGAACAGGTGCCACTATTCCTCCTAGAGAATGTGCTTTATCTTGGGCTGCATCTTCATGTGGGCATCTTGGGCACTAAAATTTAAGGACAATAATGCCTACCTCAGTGCAATGTTGTAAGGATCAATTAAGATCAAGTAAGTGAAAGTGGATGGTATTGAGACAGGCATACGAGGGGCGCTTAGTGAACGTATGGGACAAGCACAAGAACTGTAGAATATAGATGTTGCTTGGCAAATGTACTTATTCTTCTCTGCCTTGCTCAGTTATAAAGCTCCAGGCATTGGATCACAGAACTGAGGATGACACCTACTATGTTTTCTCTGGACAAAACTGGGTAAAGACAATAACTCCTGTTTCTCAGATATAATATGGCCTGCCTGCATCTGGGGAGTTAATTAAAATGAAGACGCCCAGAACCACTCCCCATCCTCACCCCACTGCACTGATAGGTAGGCAATTGCCTTTTTAGACAAGCTTGAGTAATTCATATATACTCCTGAATTTAAGAGCAAATACAGGGGCACCTGGGTGGCTCAGTTGGTTAAGCATCTGCCTTCGGTTCAGGTCATGATCCCGGGGTCCTCGGATCAAGCCCTGAATCGGGCTCCCTGCTCAGCGGGGAGTCTGCTTCTCCCTCTCCCTCTGCCCCTGCTTCCCCTGCTTGTGCTCTCTCTGTCAAATAAATAAATAAAATCTTTAAAAAAAGAGAGAGAGCAAATACACACACACACACACACACACACATACACACACATATGTATGTATGTATATAAAGCCCATCTTTATCAAAAAATGTATGAATCTGTATACACATATGTATACATTATATTTTATCAAAAAGACGCAAAGATGTCCATTTATGTGTTTTTTTCACCAGAATCAGAGTCAGTGGACACTCTTTTTCATCTTTTACATAGCATGAGCAATGCTACAACCAAGCAGAAACCTACAGTAGCTCCCTTTACAAAGTCAAAGCAAATCATACATTGGAGAATCATCAAAAAGTGCAAGGTTAAAATCTAAGTCAAGAGGGCTTAAGCCAGTGGTAGTTCCCAACTGCAAATCACTTTTTGGGCTTACAAAAATTCACATATGTGGACCCCACTATAGACTGACTGAATTAGAATGTCTGAGGGTCGAATAGTGGCTTTTACATGCTTAACTGTTTCTATAGATGATTCTAGCTACCTCCCTGGTTCAGGAGGAAGTGCTGATGATAACCATTTGGGTTACCAACACGAGCTATACTTTTCCCATTTCCAAGGTAGTATTAATTTGTTTATTTCTCTGTAGAACAAAGTTGTCAACAAAAGGCTGACATGGTTCACACACTGCTAGACACCTCTTGCTAATACTTCATTATCATGGTTTCCAGGACTTGTCCTTTAATTTATGCTCTGAAGAGCCAAGGGAGGCCAATATCACACATGTTCAGCAGACACAGACTAAAGTGCTCACACCTGTGCACACACACACACCTATCAGCGGTAGCTCTTCAGCCATCATTTCTTTCCTACCACTCCCTCACTCTCAAACCCTTGGTCTCTTTATTCTATGTTCACCGTCAAAGGGTATGATTAGCTGATCCAAGTGCCTCCTCGTCTAGCTGATGACCCTGAAGTTAAGTGGGACTTATACAAGGTAACTCAGCTAAATAATCTTAGTGCCAGGACTTGAACTAGCATTTGGCTTCAACTCAATGCTCCCCCCAGTACTTGTTTTCTCCCCTGACCTTTGGAGGGATGTTCTATTTCTGTAACCCCTCCATGCAGGGCTGGTTTCGTGGCCTTGAGACCACTGTGGCTGCACAAAGCTCAGCTCTTACAATGGCCAAGCCCTTGATTTACTGCTCTGCTGTTGCTGTCTTGAAATTCTTAATTTTTAACAAAGGGCCTTGTATTTTTATTTTGCAGTGGGTCCTGCAAATTACATAGCTGGTCCTGCCTACAAGGTAAGGGGGCCGCTCATGGCCCTTGAAGCAGTGGGAGCTTGGAGAAAGTGCAGAGCTGCAGTTCAGTTTCAGAATCTCAGCCTGAGTTCTGACCACCAGGGCCCCACCCATCCGAAGGAGCTCTCGGCTTCTCTGAACTCTCAACTCCTACCTGGACAGATTTAGTGAAAAAACTTGTTCTCTGAGTATGTGCTAACTGAGATATCATTTCCATTATCCCTGACCCTTGCTGGAAGATGAGGTAATGACATTTCTGTTTAACTTAGTATTTGCGGGGTGCCTGGGTGGCTCAGTCATTAAGTGTCTGCCTTTGGCTCAGGTCATGATCCCAGGGTCCTGGGATCAAGTCCCGCAGGGTCCTGGGATCAAGTCCCTCTCTCACTCTCCCTGCTTGTGTTCCCTCTCTTGCTGTGTCTCTGTCAAATAAATAAATAAAATCTTTAAAAGAAAAAGTAACTTAGTATTTGCTAATAGAAATGGTGACCAATTGGAGAACATTAAAAAATTCTGTCCTCTTCATACCAGATCATTTTCTAGAAATCAATACCTGCAAACCCCTATATTAACATATCAGTTATCATCCATTTGTACTTTGCAAACAATCTGCATTTTGAAAAACTCTTTCAAACAAATCTTGAGCAAACTCTTCCTGTTTCTCTTGAGTTCATAATGACAGTATTATTTTCATTTATTTAGTTATGTTTGGCAATCTTATCTGGCATGACCAGATGATCCAGCATTGTTTTTCAAGTCTTGCTTTTAATTTAACAAGGTAATACATTAATTGGAAGCAAATGTTTATGTTTTGTTTTAAGAAGTCCCCTTTAGTGATCAGGAAAGACAATATGTTCAAATGAAGGTACGGCTAGTGCATTTTGTTTTCATGAAATCATTTCAGAGCTGAAAAGTACCTTACAAATCACCACATTCAATGTCCTTATTTTCTCTGTATATTCCCATAGAACAGAGATTGTGATTTGCTCAATGAACCATGTCAACTTCATAGCACATAGGAAGAGACTCCAGGGCAACTGACGCCAAACCATCTTAGCATACCTGTGCTTCAATAGTTCCAAGTAAATTACGTGATCATTAAATACTGCTGCAGAGTTCAAACTATTACTTCAGAAACTGAAGTGCCATCTGATTTTCATCCTTTAAAGGTAAATGAAAACCTACTGTTCTTTCTAAAGATGATAGGAATCACTATTACATCATATATAAATGTTTATGAAGAACATTTCTCTTGGAGACAAAATACATCACATCTGTCATGCATAACACTGCATTAGAATTCTGAATAGAATCGCCATTGTGAGATGGGACTACCCCTTGCCATGTCACACTTCTCTTATGAAGGGGACACAAATGATGTTCATACAATTTGATCACAGTGTACCTAAATCGCAGAGGAGTAATTTTGAATCATACAGGAACTGCTTACGACTGCCTGACATCATGTGGCCCTTTGGTCACCAGCATTCACTGGACACACCTAGATCTATGCCCTCATGTCCATGTGTCATTTGTACTCATGGAAGTATGTGTGTCTCTCACTAAACTGTGAGTCCTTTAAGGGCAGGAACAGTGTGTTTACTCTCCATCTTTTTTTATAAAAAAAGTCTAGTACATCTAGTACACTGACTGGCACATAACAGCAAATAAATGGATAAAGAGATGAATGAAGATCTTATGGAACCCTGTATTTTCACATAGATTTATTATAGTGAAAGGGTACTACAATCTCAATGAAAGCAGGGAAATATGTTATACTTAAAAAAAATATCCTCCTATGCCTTGCACAGTGTTGGTGATGCAACAAATCTAATTAAATGATAAAGGAGTGAGGAGAAGCATAAATTTATCCACTTACTTGCAAGCAAGCCAACTCCACTTGCAAGGGATCCGACCCAGGCTGTTCTTCCTTTCCCTTCACCAAAGGAGTCCAGCCATTCTATGTACAAGACTCCAACAGCCAACGGAGATCCGTAACACAAAAACTGAGTGAAAAAGGAGACAAGTACAATCACCCAGCCCCATCCACCATCAGGTGACTTTTTAAATTCCATTGTAAGGTAAGATCAAAGAGGTGTTCCTCCGTAGGTCCTAAGCAAAAACAAAAAGGAAAGAAAAGCATATTTAGAGTATAGTAGGGCACAGTATTTTGGATTAAAAATATCTCCTCCTAAATTAAGTCATAAAAAGCTTCTCTAAAAATACACATGGAAAAGCATAAAATATCACTGACATCAACTTTAAATTTTTTACTGATTTGAGTAAAGAATACATCCACATGGTTCAAAAAAAATTTTTTTATTATAAAAAGGCACAGAGTGAAAACCTTGTCCCCATTCACCAGGTTTGGTCTTTTGTCACATGTTGGCTTCTCCAGGAAGCAGACCCTTAGTAAGAGAAAGGTTTTTGGGAACTGTTTTATTCCTATGGAAGGTAACAGGCAGGAGAGGAAAAAGGTAAGCTGCCATGTAGTATCAAGGAAGGGAACTTCTAAAGAGTTACTCTGAGTTAGGCACGGAGAGTTGGCCCATTACACCCCCATGTTGATCATTCACCAGATTTAGGCCATTCAGGGAGTGCGCATGACCATAAATGAGGGGGCTCCCTTCAAATGAGGCAGTCATTCCAGTAGGGCTGTCAGCTGAAGGCACCCTGCCAACAGTACTGTGAGCAGCTAGGGCAAGGAATCTCTCAGTCCCAAAGAGTCTGGAGGGGAATTGGCAGCACATCACAATGTCCACCAACTTGAGTCTCCTCCCAGACTTTCTTCATGAATATACAAGGAATTTTCCTCTTTTTTGACAAAAAATAGCATATTGTACATTCTATTCCAAACCTTGTCCATGCCCTTAACATCCCCAAGATTTTTCCCTATCGATACATAGACAGCATCCTTAGCCATTTTTTTCTTAACAAGCACGAAGTATCTCACCATATGACTGCATACTTATTTATTTACTGAATAGGCAAAATATTACACAGCCTTTTAGTCTCTTTAGATGTTTGGCTATTGCTATCACATGTTATCTAGTTTATTATCTAGATTATTATCTAGTTCAAGAATGAAAAAGAGGGACCAAAAGTATGTAGCCCACACCTAACTATTTCCCACCTAACTCCCATATCCTCCACAAGAAACCAATGCTTCTTGTTTCTTTTATATGCTTCTAGAGTTTGTTTATGCATACATTGCTAATTCAAATATAGATTTCCTCTATTTTTTACACAAAAATAGTATGATATATACATATGTATCTGTATATATCTTGCTTTTTTTCACTTGACAAACAACCTGAAGATCTTTCCCATCGATGCATAGTGACCTTCCTTATTCTCTTCTTTGTGCTGCCTTGTGTTTCAGTATAGGGCTTTCTCTTAATTCAACCAGTTCCTTGTGATTTACAATGAAAACAACTCTGCAGTGAATAACCTTACATATACATATATCTTTTGCATACATGCACATCTGTTAGGTAAAGCCCAAAAGAGGAATCGCTGAGTCAAAAGGTAAGTACATTGTAATTGTAACTAGAATTACAAAATTGGCTTCAAGGGATTAAACCAATTTATGTCATCCCCAGCAATTTGTGGTATGTCATAAAACTTTTGGATTTTTTGCCAATTTGGTAACTGTAAAAAAGTATTTCGTTATAGATTGAAGTTGCATTTTTCAGCATCCCCTGAATATTGTATGTCATTTCATAGATGAAAAGCCATTTGCAATTCCTATCTAATTCTTGGGTATGTATATATGGGTGTATTTCTGGATTTTCCATTCTGCTCCATCAGTCTGACTATTCACTCACCATTACCACATTAGTTTAATACTAAGTTTAAGGTAAATTTGTAAATTGATTTTAGGCAAACTGATCCTTTTATAATGTTGAGTCTTTCTATCAAAGAACATGGTATGGCTTTGCATTTGTTCAAGTCTCCTATTGTGTTCTTAATGTTTAAAGTTTTCCCTAACATTTTTTTTATTTTAAATATTCTATTCTTTTTGCTAATATTATAATTGGGGTTATTTCTTTGTCTTTTGTTTGTGTGTGTAAAAGTTATTGATGTCTACATGTTAATTTTGTGTCTCACTACCTTACCAAATTCTCTTGTTTGCAGTAGATTTTTGGACAATTCTCTTGGGTATATACAATATATAATACAATAAAGTTACACAATCAACTACAAACAGTGATAGTTTTACATTTTTATTTTGAATTTTTATACTTCAGATTTCCTTCTTTTGCCTTTGCATCGAACAGGACATACAGGATAATGTTAAATAATAAGGGTATATGTCTCTGTCTGGTTCCTAACTTAGTCGGAACACTTTCAAATGCCAAGGTGCTGCCTCTGGGGCTTAAATCAATTTATTTCACAAACTAAGAAAACACTTATATTTCTCTATCTTTGAGTGTTATTATAAAGGATGCTTACTATGTTTTATCAAATGCATTTCTAGTGCACAGGGAGATGATTATGATCTCCTCCATAAAACTTTTAATGTAATAAAATCTGTATTTTCTTTTTTTTTTTAGATTATTTATTTATTTGTCAGAAAGAGAGAGCTAGAGAGAGCACAAGCAGGGGGGAAGCAGCAAGCAGAGGGAGAAGCAGGCTCCCCGTTGAGCAGGGAGCCCGCTCTGGGGCTTGATCCCAGGAGTCCAGGATCATGACCTGAGCCGAACAAAGGCGCTTAACTGACTGAGCCACTCAGGCGCCCTCAAAATGATATTTTAAAAGAATTTGAAAATATTACTTCTTTCAAAGTTCTAAAACAGTTTACATGGCATGGATTAGGAGGCCCAAGCCTTGACCTCCCTGTCCCCACAGGGCTTCCCACTTAATCTATACTTCCTATGTCTCTGCACCATGTCAGGTTTACAGTTTCAACAGGGTCTACTTTGACCACAGATTTTTCTAAGCCATTCCCTTGGCTGTGATTCCATCAGATAATAGCTAAAGACAGTGGAAATTATCATTCATCCATTCATGCATGTCCCTAATTAGATGGTGGAGCATTTGGCTACCTTAAGAGAGTCATAGTTACACCCATCAATTTATCTGGGCTTCAGTGAATTTCTTCACTTTGACATTCAGAACACTAGGCAAAAATCACGTCACCACCCGCCACAGGCCTTTGTATAAATTAACTTTCAGTATTTCATAACTGAAAACTGGAAGATGTTACAATTTGCACACAAGACTGTAGAGTCTAAAAGCCAGCCTCTCAGACCAAATGATTGTGTTAGCAGACAGAATAGTGCAAACTTCCAAATATCTAAATCCTTTGAAATAATCAGATATGTCCCTTCATCAGAAATTAACTCTTTCTAGTACCTACTCTACTGTAAAAGCAAACAACATAATTCTGGTCCTTCTAATGACAATTTGGTACTTTGCAATTTTTCTTGGTCAAAATCCCTTTTAAAGAAAATATACTCTTGATTCCCAAAACTAGATACTATATAATAACAATAGCCAAACCTCTAAAGAGACTAAAGGGTTTTATAAGAACAAATGCATATGAGACTGTCCTTCATTTAAATCTTAAAGTTACAGCACTTCAGGAAAAGCACACAATTACATAGGCAAAGTACCAGAATCATGAAGAAAGCCAGTATTTTCTGGAGGGTGGGAAGAGTGAACGGGTGAGGAGTACCTCCCTTGCCAGTGCCCAGACTTAAGTAGACAGAAATGCCTTTATACACAAAATACCTTGGCCTTGCTTTACTCTGCCTTGCCTTGGGTGACATTTCAACACATAGGACAAGAGCCAGAAAATTCTTCTCACCGTAAACATTTGGGAGAACAACCTTTGAAATACAAAGCTCCCGTGTATATCAACTCTGACTAGAAAGACAAGTTTTTATAAAGAGTTGGCCAAGAGCTTCTGACCTTTAATTGTCTCATAGTTTGATATACATGTGCTCTCTATAGAACATGCTGAAAAATACCATTTCATGATTTCTTGTTTTCTGTCAGGGTAACAAATACATTTCTCCTACAGTTTCCTCTATTCCTTAGGTGTTTCTCACCTAAGGAACTATATATTCTGCAAGGTGATTTCACGAATAGACTAATCTTTATTTCCCCCCTTTTGTAATGGCTCCCAATTTCCTTGGGGGGACTTAGGTCTTCTCTATGGGTAGAGAGCTGGTAGGACTGTTGATCAAGATTCCTTGATCTTGATCTATAGAATAGTACCTGATCCAAGCAAGGGCAGGAGAACCTCTCTCCCAGGTTTCTGAATCTTAGGTGAAATGCCATAAGGAAAAAAAAATAGACATTTGAAGTTTATTGATTGCAAAGGTAGCACATTGAAGAGACCCTCTGTCAGTTCCTACTACTTTGACTACCTAGGAGATACCCAAGATTGGCTTCTCCAGCTTTTCATTTCACCCTATGAGCAAACCCAATAAATTAATTTTAAGTTAGCTGGTGTTTGTTTCTTTTACTTAGAACAGAATAAACAAATTTGAGTATGCAGTGATTTCAAGTTGGATTGTATCAACTTTCTATACCCCACTTGCTTCCATTTGGGCCAAAGGGTAAGTTTAGGAATATAGTCTATGGCCTCATAATATAGGAAATATAGATATGCCATAACTTTTTTCTGAAATTTCTTTATTATCCTTCCTATTCATATCTTATGATTCAAGTGATAAAAATCTCTTCTCTGGCATTTTTTTTAAATAAAAACTTGAAATTAACCGAAATTTCCACTAAGCACACTTATACTAATGTCTACAGAAATACAGCATTATAAAAGTGATCTTTATTCAACAGGTTTTTTGATCACTTACAAATTAAATTATATTGCACTAGATACCAAGGTAAATCAGAAGAAATATGACATGGCCTTTGCCCTCTAGGAGCTTATACCCCAGTTAGGAAGGTAAGAGCATGTGATCTTTGAGTGCCAAAGAGGTGGCCAGCTCTTAAAACGTTTGGGAGTCAGAAGGGAAGGAAAGCGGGAGTGAAAGGCCTTATGAAGTAAGTTGGTCCTAAAGAACAATGGAGAGATTCAGGAAAGCATGGCACTGGCAAGAAAACAACATGAACTTGGGTGTGGAATCAGGATAGGCCTACTA